TGACCTACATTGCTCTGGAGATTTGGAAAGTAAACGGACGCAGGAGCATGTGCACAACTGTGCAGACCCGTACCTTATGCAGATGTGAAATGTTCTGGATGCTGTCTGCATGTAGGAGGCAATGATGGCAGAGGGAGGGGCAGGGCGCTATCCCACAGCTGCCGTATGCAGATGTTCTGTCTCTGCTCAAGGACAGATCACCTCCAGCGAAAGCACAGGGCATTCTGCCAGAGTGCTGAGACAGAGGGGAGAGGGCTGGGGCCAGGCAGCAGCCGGGGGGAAGTTGGCATGCTTCTACAAAATGCACTTGGCTGTCCTGGGTGCTGGCTATCTAGTGCATTCACCTCCCCTGGAGGGAGAACAGGACACTTTCAAGTTAAGAGAAGGCAGCACACAGCATGTCTGTGGTAAACAATTTATTATTCTACCTCAGTTACTTACAGGGGGAAACATAAAGTGTCATTAGGGAGCAGTGCAGATAAACTATTTACAGCACCACTCATGAGAAAGCTCGTAGGAAAAAAAAAATAAAGGGAACCAATTGCATCAGTTATCTTCAACCAGAGGAGTCAAACTGCACAGATCTCCTGCTGCACATGCTCACTCTGTGAATACCAAGGATGCTGACAGACATACCGACCCACTCACACTGGGTGAGTCAAAGACAGCATGGGTCACTCACTGTCTGAAACTCTAGCTTTTGTGGGCGTAACTGAACTATCATCACTAACTTAAGAGAGAGTAGGGACATTTCAAAGAGGGAAGCCAAAAGGTCATCCTGACATGTTCCTCCTAGGGAGGGGTGGCTCTCAGGGAGCTAGCCCGCAAATGAAATCTTGATTTGGATGGTCCCAGGTATCCTGTCCCTTCCCACCCTGCCAGTGCCATGGGTAGGGGTAAGGGGTAAGGCACAGAAGGCAGGGAGGTGAAGCTGGAGAAGGAGAGTCCAGTGGAGATCAGTGCCCATTGGTGAAGCCCGTGCCAGGGCTAGGCATGTGAGTCTGCTATTCCTTCTCAAAGACAGGTGAGTTTATTGTGGTGATAGCCACCAGGAGACCAGCCCCAAAGGCAATGGCAACCAGACAGTGTTTACACCAGTGCTCATTCAGATTCCATTTTCCACACAGTTTTGTAGAAGGGTGTGAGTGTTCACATTGCTTCTATGCATCACGGGACACAGATGCTCCCTCTAGATCAGATAGATGCAACCCCTCTGGGCCACCAGCACTTAAAAGCTCACTCCGAAAGCCTGTCTGATCATTATTCTAAAGAAGCAGCATCTTCCTGGATTCCTCTGAGAAGTCCCTATGAAGTTTGTGAGCAGTTTCCTACATTCTGGGGGAGCTGGCAGGGGGAGTGGGGGTGGGACTGGCCACAGGAAGCAAAGTGGGAGGGAATGGGAGCAGGAATGTTTTCTGAAGCAAAACAAAGCACAACAACGAGGTCTCTTCCAGAATTTGAAACAGGAAAAATCATTTTCATTCATTCCATCAGCCAGATAGGACAGATTTCAGTGGGCCCTGCCAGCAATCGGGAGGGTCTGGCAGGGGTATGTACTCTCTAGAAATGACGGCAAACCCCTCCACTTGTGCTCCTCTCTTAGGAGCTTGCTGATAACAATTGCATCCCACACCATCGAAATCAGCAAATAATTTGAAAGTGAAATAAGACTAGAAACTGTTGACCTGCAACTAGAAGGGAGGGGCCCAGAAGGCTCAGGGCATGGAAGTGGGCGGAGCAATGACAGGTCCAACGTTCCAGGCTCAACACTGATGAGCACACAGAGCCAGGGAAGAGCCTTGACCATGACTAGAAGAGGCAGGAGTCATTTGCAAAGTGGTCAGACCCCAGCCTTCCTCAAAATGAGCCCGACCCCAACACTGACAAAAGGCATCCAGCCTCCTTCTTAACATACCTTGTTTGTTCTTAAAGCATCCTGCAGGTTGCTGCAGGGGTTAAACCTATTTACCACAGTTGTGTGGTCCAGGAAGCTTTATTGGAAAGACATACCACACAGGTGGGGTGAGACCTGAACCCTGAGCAGCTGGGATGGATGCAAAGGTCAAAACACATGCAAAGGACACCTCAGAAGGCATCAGGATCCTTTGTGCTGAGAATGACCTAGGATCCCGCTAGTGAGTGAAGGGTCTGGGTGGTTTGAGAACCTAAATGGCCCGTCATCTCTGGCCCCACATGCCTCTAGGATGAACTCATCAGGCCTAGGCGGAGCATGAGGCCCATACATAATCTCAGAGAGGCTAGAAATAGGAAGTGAGCACAAGGTAAGGCCATTGGGACCACAAAGAAAAACCATCAGGACAACTTGGTAGTGATGAGAGCTGTGACAATGTCAGAAAGTTCCAGGATCCAACCCCAGGGCATGGGAGCTTGTTCACTGAACCAGGCAGAGGAGGTGAGGAGAAGGCAGTGGACTGGGCTGCCCTGACCTCGGAGGATCACTCTACACCCTCCTCCAACATCCCTTACAGCAGGAGACAAGAGACTGATCACTCTAAAGCTTCCTGCTCTAGAAGCCCACCAAGTCTTAAGCTCTGTGATGATGTCATGTTTGATTCTAAAGGGACTGACCACACCCTGAACTCATGACTGAAGGGACACAGGAGTCAGCCTAGGCTCTGTGTCTAGAATCAGCAGGGGCTTGGCAAGGTGCTGGGACAAGCAGATGAAGGGCAACTCCCAGGGGGGCCAGGGTCAGAATGGGGTGAGCTCTGATGTCAGCCTGACTCCTGACATACTGGGATGAAGGCTGGGTGGCTCACACCTCCTTGAGCTGCCTGCAGGCACCTCACTCTTGTTATCCCTATCTGACCGGAAGATAAAAGAACCCAAGAGCCTTCAAAGTGTGACTACAATGGATGGGAAACAGAAAATTTGGTGGCTGAGAATGGATTGCTTACCCTATGGGCCAGAGAACACAGTCTGTCTGTCTTCAAGGCTGATTTCTACCCCATTTAACCCTAGTGACTGGCCACAGGTGAGTTGGTGCCATGATGAAGACTAACAGCATCTCCAGGCATAGAGACTGTGCCTCCTCCTTATCAAAGCTTTGACTTCCCAGGAGGGGCCAGGCACCTGGGAACTCCACCTCAGTTTGCCCAGTCCCAGCTTGGTCACTTTGGCATGTCAGTCTGTCTGGAGTAGACCCAAGGAGGTGAGCCATGGAATTAGAACACTACCAGAAGCTTCCTGAACTGGTTCAGATGAGACAGGGATGTTAGCATGGGGTCCACTTCATTATCTCCAAATGATGTCTCCAACTTTGCATGGACACACTCTATAGTACCACAACCCTTCTTTTAATCTTTGAACAGGACTGAGCAACAAAACCCTTAGTGGGATAGAAAAACCCTACATTCTACTCTGAGCCCAGCCACCACCCTCATGTGGCTGCAGAGCCGCTGGAATGTGGCCAGTGTGAATGTATAACTCAGTTTTTTTTCCTTTTTCTTGAATTTTAATTACTATAGATCTAAATTTTAGCGACCAATGTTACCTAGTTGTTAGGTAGACGCTGGCTAATGGCTAAGTATTAGAAGTTGGGACTCAAGACTGCCTGGACTCTTCTTTTTCCTCTGTGCCTTCAGATCTGTATCTGTCTGTAATGGGGATAACCCAGGAACAGTTCTAGCCTGAATACTGATTTTCTGTCCTTCAGGTCCCAGAGTACAGGTTGTTATTATTATAAGCTGCAGAAAGGCTGTGGGGAGGGACCACCGAGGGTCCTTGCTGACAGCATCTCCAGGATGGGAAACCAGCCTAGGTCCCAGGGAAGCTGCTATACTCAACCTTCTACCTTGAACTTCTGAAGCTCTATCTCCCTTCTGCCCCTGACCCCGTAGTCAGAGAGGGGCACTCACCCTCTTTCAAAGGTTCTACCCAATATCCATTCACAAATAAGAGCAGTGAGGCCCAGAAGTGGGTGACTTGCCACAGCCACTTGTCCAACTGGTAACAGAGATAGGATAAGTGTCTAGGTTTCCAATGCTGGCCAGAATCACAGGACATAGCCCTACATATCTTCTGTTCCCATCTCAAAGCCTGAGCTGAGTCCAGTCCTTTCCTCCAACCTCCTGCTCCTCTTGCTTAGAAAGCCTTCCCTCAGGCCAGCTTTCTGTGAACTTCTGCTCATCACTTCTCTCAGGCCTCCAAGTAGAGAGACATGATAACCACCAGGAGTAGCCCCAAGTCCAGCCACTGAGTGTGGGTCCCTTCCACCATGCCTTCATTCCCTGCAGAGAACCATGGAGCACAGACTTCCTTACATCTGGACATATTATCTGGTCTCTGACTGTGACGCAGTAGGCACCCTAATATATTCTCATCTGTACTGCTTGACCGTGAGCAGGTTTACCTCACAACACCCTTAAAGCATACCTTCCTACAACACTCTTCCCATTTTCCCAAGAGCACGCCCACCTGCTCCCTCAGCTGAAGCACCAGGGTATGTGTGGGCAGTGCCATGCTCTGCTGTCTGTGTGGAGTAGAATGAGAATCTGCACAGCTCATTCAGGGTGCAAAGCACATGTCTGAGTCCTGCAGCACATCATCAACATATGGCAGAAAAGCCCGATGCCAGGGCAGTCAGGCCAGGTTAGAGAGGCGAAGAAGGGAAGGCAGGGTGGGAGGCATTAACAAGTAGATGTGGACAGCAGCAGGCAGCAGGGATGGTGGTGTGACAACAAGCCCTGGGCCCAGAGTTCAGTCTCCCAGGAGAAGACTGAGGCTTGGGGGAAAAGGAGGTGAGCAGAAGGAGCTTCTCATCTCTTCTCTCCTCCTTTTTGCCACCAGCATCAAGGAAACATTCTAGTCCATTATAAAGTCCCAACTATACCCTTACCCTGGACCAGAGGGGATTTAGAATGTAGCACACTCAGGTATGCAAATAGTGTTCTCTTTTGGAACATCTGTCTGCTCCTTCCCCCTCCCCAGATGCAGCCTGCCTCCCATATTTCCCAAACCCCAGGGTTTAAGCCACTCACCTGGGAACTGGTAGCCATAGCTAGGAGCAAATCCAGGGTAGCCTCTGCCATAGGTTGCCACAAAGTTGGGGTAGCCTTGAACACAGAGAGAAAGAAAGAGCTGTCACACAGTGGCCTTGGATCTGGGGAGATAGTCCAGGGAAAGCAGCAATGACTATCAGCTGTTGTTAGTTTCACAGAATTGTGTGTCTCTGGGGAGGGTCTCAATCCAGGCCCTGGATCCCCTCTCTTGTGTGTCTAGGGGTGTGACCATCAGTATGTTTATAATTAACCCATATTTAAGCAACCAGGCCACCCAAAGCTCGGGTACCAAAGCCCATGAACCCGTAAAGTAAATGCCACATGGAAGATGGAACACAGTGCCTGCATCTGGCTCTGACATTTGGAGAGCTTACCCTGAATGTACTTTACCTTAAAGATGTTGACAGTAGGAGATTAAAAGCCCTTGTACTGCCTTCTTCCAAGACAGTGGACAGGGGCCAGAACACCATATAGGGCAGAGGTACTCTGGGATTGGCTGTTTAGGAGCCATACAGAGGACTGCCTCTTGGCTTAGCAAGCCACAGCTGGGGGAGGCAGGGGCCTTGTCCCAGCACAGAAATTGTACAGACGTATGTCTTTCTCATGGACAATTTATGGTGGGTGGTAGCCTAGGGTGACTCTGAACTGAGGGGTGCTGAGAATCCTCTGGTGAGTCCTGGAAGGGGTAGGCCTGCTCCAATCTATGAAGAAATTTCCCATTTAAGAGGTCACCTCAGCACTGTCCCCCTCAGTCTTCACGCCCCAGTCTTTACTTTGACTATAGTGAAGATGAGTGTAACCTTCTTGTACTTGAACATCCTTGGTCACAGCAGCTCCTCAGCTACCTCCTGTCCCTGTCCCCAGAGTGACCATCTGCCTCCTTCCACCCAGTGTGGGCTAGCTCAGTACAATCATAACCTACAGATGTCACCAGTCCCTGTCCCCAGAGAGACCTACTCTGCTTCCTTCTACCCAGTGTGAGCTAGCTCATTACAACCCTACTTCACAGATGTCACCAAAATCTCCTACCAGCACACTGCTCTCTGCTTGAACCTCTGAGGTGGTTGGTTGTCTGGTGAGTGTCAGGTCAGCTAGTATTTGAATGAACTCTGTGCCTGCCTGGGAGGCAGGCCAATGCAAACTTTCACAGGGACCTGTGTCTAGAGCCAGTGGCAGAGGATGGGCAGGTGGCTCTGTGTTTACTCTGGCATCAGTGAGACAATCCAACATCCAGAGGTGCCAAGTGGCCCTCTGACCAGGCCATTCCTGGGCTGTGCCCTTGGCTTGGAGTTGGGGCTCTGATGGCTCAGCTCCCTGAGCTCCTGTCTGCTTTCCAGGTTCCACTCCCCAGCCTTGTCAACTCTGGGCACCATTGCTCCTGACAATAACCTTTGCCACCTCCAGAAGCCAGAGGTATTTCTTCTGTTTCCACCAAACAGCAGGTGGAAAGCCATTTCAGTGGTAGACTCAGGACAGGTTCTAGGTTTTCTAGAAGACAGGGAGCAGTGGCCACTTTCCACCTTTCTGCTTTCCTGACACAATGGTGGCTGATTATCCACCTCCCCATAGATTTTCACAAGTCATACCAAACACATTCTAACCCCAAAAGCCAGGGCACGCTCTTCTTGCTGCCTGAGGATCTACATGTAAAAGTTGAAGCTCCTTCTCCAGCACCATGTCTGCCTGCACACAGCCATGCTTCCTGCCCTGCTGATAATGGAGCAGATCTCTGAACTGTAAGCCAGCTCAGTTAAATGATTTCCTTTATAAGAGCTGCCATGGTCATGGTGTCTCTTTGTAGCAATAAACCCAGAACTAAGGCAATGCTCTTTTCAGGACGGTTCCAGAGAGACCACTATCTCACTATGTGAGGACAGAGTACTGTCATGACATTTACTATAGGTGTCACCACGTACTATCGATCATTCTTCCAGTGCCTTCATTTTGGATTTCTTAGCATTCAGGACTGAGAAATAGATGTTGACTCAAAAGATGAGCAAGACCCATGGAATTCTGTCATACAACTCTGATCTGAGACAGGGGCTTCCCCTTTCTCTTAGAGGCTGATTCTTACCACAAATAGAAAAGGCCTTACCAGGGTAGGGGTCACTGATGTACCTAAATGTCAGCAGTGACCAGCTGTGGTTCTTGCTACAGCTGGAGCCTTCCTGCATGTGTGGTCCCACTGAGCTCCTGGCCAACTGCGCTATCTCTGCTTTATCTGGGCCTGCCACTGGCTGTCCTGGTGAGATCCTCCTCCCGATGCCTCATTGGCAGAGGCTACAGGCAAGACAGAATGACTTAGCAATTTTGTACCCACTGGTCACAGAGGGGAAGGAGCCTAGGAGGCCGCTGAACTCCTAATGATTTCCTAATGCGGAAAGGGAGAGGGAGAGTTGAGCAGTGGTTAGACCTCAGAGCCCTCCCTTCATTGAACATGTGCTCGATGGGATGTTCTCTGGAATTTATTTCCTGGCAGGGCAGCTCAATTTTTCCTCTAAATTAATCATCTACTATCAAACCAGATCTTTCAGAGCTAGATTTCTTATAGCACTGTTTCCACAATATTGATAAATGGATTACAGGTAAATGATCAAGTCACTACTGCCTAGGTGCTTTCATGATGAAAAATGGCTCCTTTGCCTCTAACTGCAGAGCAGGGTCCTAAATTTGAAGTGTTAATTTGACAGCAAGAGCCCATGCATCACTTTCCCTAGATGTAGGTGAGGGACAGTGGAATGGCTAGCCCCGCCCTGTACTCGAGCCACCGTGTGACCTGATTGTATGTATTTTCCCCCAACGCAGATCTTCAAATCTTCAACACGAAAGAAGAAACAGACAGTCAAGTTCTCACTAACTCTGGGCCTCACCCTGATATTACAGACCAGTTATCATCATCACCCAAGGAATGAAGATGAAAATTCCACACCTGCCACGCTGGGGGATCTCATCTCCATACCCCCAATGCTGAACAGCCTCTCAGCCAGGAAGATGAAATTATAAATTTATAATACAACATTACTTCAATTTTCCTCTTCATTTGCGGCTGTGCAGCCCAGCTCTGCTCCAGTGGCTCAGGGCCCAGGCCGCATGGGGGAAACTGGCTGGCTGCATATCAATAGCACATTACAGTAGAGCCAGGCGAACGCTCCATCAAGCCACATTACAGGAGGATGACCCAGCCACAACTTCCATTAGCAGCTGGGCCCCTCCCACACTGGCCACTGAACAATTTATTTGCTCCAGTACTCTGGATGCCTGATCAATCCCACAGTAATTATCTCTTGTCACTAAACGGGAAAAAAAAAATTCAAGCTTTCTGCCTGGATGAACACCTTCCTCGCACACGGCCTTTCCATTGTGGCTGCCCAAGTCAGAAAGAGACAATAGAACTTGGGAGTTCTGTAAAGTTCTTTCTGTGGCCCTCTCCTGGGGATGCTCACAGGCTTCTCAGAACTGTGGCTTTAGATCTCTGTTCCTAACAGAGAAAGATTTGCATCCAACATGGGTTATGGCTCATCTAGGCTCTTACTCAACCACCCAGTTACCTGGGGGGGAAAAAAGGCTCTTCCCAGACCCTTGACTTTAATGAAACAAGAGAGAACACTATCTACTACACGTCCAGTACCATGATAGGGGTAGGGTTAGGGTAGGATACCACAATAGCTCCATGAAGTTAAGCAAGTACCAAGAGCCCCTCATGGGTAAGGTTGTGAAAGCCAGTCTACAAAGACAAACAGCTCAAGAATTCTCCTAATTTAAGGGTTCCTCCATACCCACACTAATTTAACCTTAATTAAAACTATCTGAAAAGAACATTTCAGTCCCTTATGGGGCAAGAGCCATATCACAAATGCTCAATGGTTGGTGTGCACATGAAGCTGGCAGTCGTGATACTGGCCAGCAGACAAACGACAGTCTCACCATCTCAGAAGGCTCTATGGCTCCATGGCTCCAGAGGGGCAAGAAACAACTGGTCTATGAGCTGCTTCTGGCTACCAAGAAACAGGTGCACAAACAGGAGTCTTCCTTATTGTAAGGAAGACTCAAACAGGTATTTTTGGAGGAAAGATAAATTCCAGTAGAGACTATAGACAACTCTAGGAAGCTAAGCTGTGTGTTCTAGCCATCTCCCAATATGGAGTGAGTGTTGGCAGATCACGGGTCCCTAGGCCTTTTCAACAATGATTTGTTTGTTGTTTGTTTGTTTGTTTGTTTGTTGTCTTCAATCTAGAAGGCAGTAATGTTAGGAAGCACCAGATCAGGGAGTTGTAGGGCTCTCTTGCAACAAGTGAAGATAAGAAAGTTTGGCTAGTGGTTAGCTGGCTAACAGCTTATTTCTTCTCCCTAGACTGGCAAGGGAAGCCTTTCTGCAACGTCTCAACACTGCACACACTCTCTCTACCATGTATTTAATAAATAGCATGTGCCCAACCAGGCCAAGAGCATTAAAGGCGGTGAGATTATGAGGCTGAAGGCAGAGAAGGCCAAGAGGAATCAAATACATCAACAGCTATGTGTTTGCCTTCACTAAGTCCACTTTCATTAAGGAAAACTAGGGCGACTCTGCAGGGCTGGATGACTATGGGTGTTCCTACAGAATGTGGACAGTGAGACAGGACCCAGGGCTTGCAAAACAGCTGATGGTACAGCTGCTTCTGGTTCTCTCTGGCTCAGAAACAAGAGGTAGGGCCTTGGTGTAATTCTCCTCCTCCCCTTCAGTCCTCTACACTCTTTAAAGGAATTCCCACCATCTTCTATGCTATTCTAGTAAAGGCTGTGAAAGCTTACGTCAAAACATGCTGCGTTTTCCCCAAGGATGCTGGCAGCCACATCAAATCAAGTGAGATCAAGAAAGGATGCCGTACTCCCATACACTTGTCAGCCTCCCTTTCCTGAGACCTCCCAAATGATGAAGAAATTCCTGAAGGATATTTTAAAAATTAGTTCCATGGTGCCCCAAGTCATGAGACCAGGGGCTAATTAGTTTTTTTTTCCACAGGGTCCCCTGATGTAGTTTAGACTGGTCATGATCTATGGTCTTGCCTCAGCTTTCTCATTGCAAGGAATACAGCTGTGTGCCACTGCATCTGGCTAGTGTCAGTGATCTTTAGATTTTATTTGTTTATCAGACAGGTTTTCACATAGTCCAGACTGCCTCAAACTTGCCATGTAGCCAAGGATGGCCTTCAAGTGTTCATCATCTTGCCTCTACCTCCTATGTGCTAGAATTACAACTATGTGCCACTATGCTTGCCTCTTCAGTGAACTGAGAAAAAAATTTTTTTTCTCCTGTAGGAGCCAAGGTCATCAGCCAAATTGTCAGGGAGTGGAGACAGCATGGGTCCCAGGATTGATATGCAAACAATGCACTGTGGAGATGGTCCTACCCAAAGAGTAGATTACCCAAGGCCACACTACCACATTAGAGGAAAGACGCCCAAGCAAGGAAGCCATCATGGAGGATGAAGTCTTCCTTCTGCTCCCTCCTAAAGAGCTGGAAGCCCAAGGACCACAATGCACCATTGGTACCAGGAAGGCAATCCAGAGAACCCATATATCAAGAGCTAAACACTCAGTCACAGACCAGCATCTTGTGGTTTTGACAATCATTTAGAAGTAATAATTGTGGAGTGGGGGAGAGGGCTTGCGGCACCAGCGTGAGGACCTAAGTTTGACTCCTTAACGGCCACATAAAAATGGAGGTGGCGACCTAAGGTGTTATGTGCAAGTCCAATGCCCAGAGCAGAGAGGAGGATCCTTGGGGATACAGGATAGCCAGTTTAGCTGAATTGATGAGCTCCAGGACCAGTGAGAACCCTGTGCTTCCCCACGCATGTAGCACACACATGCATGCACACATGCATCCATCCATCCTCTTACATGTACACAGATCTATTGAGACGTAATTTCCTCTATCGAGTGTGTATCCTCACAGTTACACTCTGATAAACTTACCACAGATTGACAACCGTACACCCATTGTATTTACCACGCCCAGTCTTTTGACTTGCACAACTTAGTGGCAGCAAGCTACACACAAGACTTGCCTGTGCCCCTTCCTGACAGAGAACATGGCTGTTCTCTAACAAGCTACTGCTCAGGAGCTGCCCCTGCCCAGTTACTTCAGGGAGTGTGACACTGTAAATTGCCAGCCTGGGAAAAGATCCAAACTCAATCGTCAAAGCAGTGTCTACTGAATACACACGGCTGTCTCACTGCTGTTAAGTAGAAAACTAGTGGGGTCAAGCCAGTGTACGCCGGGAACAATCTTGTCTACCATAACACAGTCTCTAAGCTCAATATGCAGCCAACTTCAGATCCCCCTGCCTCCACCTCCTGATTGTTAAGTGCTGAGTTCACGCATGTGCACCACATGCCCAGTTTTATGCAGTACTGGGGAATTGAACCCAGGGCTTCATGCATGCTAAGCAAGCACTCTATCAACTGAGCTACACTCCAGCCCTACCATATTGTTTTAATTACTGTAGCTTTATGCAGTACTTTGGGATATAGTCAAAGTAGTGTTTTCTTATTTTCCTTTTTTAAAAACAGTATTTTCTCTCCCATTTCTATTTCTAAGATAAGTTTTAGAATCACACAGTTTCTAAGGAACAATAATAGGATTTTTCTTGTAAACTCTGTTAAGCCTAAAAAATTAATCTGAGGAGAATTAATAGATTGGCCATTTAAAAATCATTCTCAATGGCACCGTGCTGTCTTTCAAGTTCTTCAGTATAGCTCTACCTGCCTGAGTTATTTTCTCAGACAAGTAGATACAATTCTTTGTAAGAGCATGAAAAGTTTAATACATTTAAGACTAAGCCAGTAATGATTTAAACAGCAGCAAATCTGAAAACACATAAAGAGCTTATCAAACAATATAGAAGAGGGACCCTTAGCCAAGCCAAATGAAAACCCATTAAAACTAGACAGCCCATGTGCCTGAATGGAATTTTACCATTAACGACCATTTATCCCATTTAATTAGTATTTTCCTGACACACAATAACTTGCACTAAAATACCGTTCTCTCGCCTTGAAATTTCTAATTATTGTTGCGACCCACACCATTACGCATCTCCTCCGCTTTCTCCATCCTTCATGCCATTTAAGCGGTGAGATTTTCAATTATCTACGCAGGGCGGACAGAGATACCTTTAAGGAAAGGGGCATAATATGTAACTCAATTTCTCTAAAAGCCAGGAGAGATCATTTTTAGTCAGAACAAACATACTTTGTCTTTCATCATTTTTTTTTTTTTGCAAATAAAGAGTAAAACAGGCTATTTAAAACATCCATTTAAATGCAAATTTTGATATCCCAAGAGGAAAATGTTAATCATTTAAATAGACAGGATTAGTGCCCACCCTTGCTACCCTTCAGTTCCTCTCCTAAGTTTTAGAAAAATGTAGCCCAAGTCCACACGAGTTAAGGAAGCAAGGAGTCCTTAGGTCACAAGAACGCTCACTGAGCCAAGCAGGCTGAGACAGAGACAGGGGTACAGTCCTGTGTCCTGTTTGAGGAAGAGGACAGACAGACAGTTTCAAGCACATCATGAGCTAGGCTCAAGGCAAGATAATGCTACATGCTCAACAGATTGCCAAGACCACCACAAAGGTGACCCTATCGACCTAGAAGATGAGGGAATGGCAGCTTAGACAGGTAAACTGAAACTCGAATGGATTCAGTTTGCCCAACTGCTAGGTGACTTCAGGTGAGTCGGGCTGTCACAGCCCTCATCCCTGGCCCAGGGTGCTCCCCCAGCCCCACACCTATGCAGACTCACCCAGCCCCACACCCATGCAGACTTACCCAGCATCCCCATGCCAAGCATGAACGCATCCATGGTGTACGGCAGCCCCCGGGCCCGGCCTCGTGTCCCAGGTGGGAACATGACTTCTTTCGGCTGAGCTTTCTTACATTCTACCTGTTAAACAGAAAAGGAGAACAAATGAGATGCAAATGAATTCCACGTAAATGTCAGATTGCAGAACCGATCGGGTTACGAGCTGTTATTTTTAGCCTTGCTCCTTACTCACTGTAAAAATCGCTGTGCTGAGTAAATGGCCTGCAAAATAAATATTTAAGAAACCACACCACTTGTGCAAATCCTGCTTTGGAAAAACCTACAAGGATGAAATTAGGTTCTGGAAGGGCAGTGAGGACGCCAGCAAAAGATACACACGTGGGGCTGCAACCCGGTACAGAAGACATGATGGCCATGGAGGACGCAGCAGCTGAGGGACTGGCCTGCAGATACCAGCAGCAGCAATTATAATCATCTTTCATGGTTGCTTGGTCTTTTAGACAGACTTCTTGATGGTCCTGCATGCCAGGGACTCCTCACATCAGGCCATCTTATGACATAGGGAGGGTACTGAGTCCTGGCTCCCAGATGAACACTGAACACCAGAGGCTCAGAAGTAATATACCACAGTCCACTCCCCATCAGGTAAAGGCCATGCAGCCACATGTTACAATTGTCAAGTTAGTGACGCCACCATTCCCTTGGGACCCATACCACCACGCTTCCCCAGGGAGTCCTGAGATTTAACACGGACTCTGCTCCTATGGATCGCTGGCTTTGCATTGAGCACTTGTGTCTTTTAGTGGTTGCTGATCTTTCCATTCATCTTCTGCCTCCCAAATCCCCCCATCTCACTCTACTCATGCACACAGAGGTCACTTACTGAACATCCTCTACCTAAATAAAATAGAAACCTTAGGGCCAGGGAGATGGCTCAGTGTAAGGTCACTTTCCATCAACCCCTGATGTCGTGTGCTCATTCTCCGGGACTCACATGGTGGGGGGAGAGAACTAACCGACCCTTCAGAGTTGTCGTCTGATCTCTACGCATGTGTCACATGAGTTCCAACATAAATAAAGACAAACAGTAAAAACCTGAACGTCTAGGAAATAATTCTGTGGCCTGCAGGAACTCCGTATGGTTTGACAGGAGTGCCTGGGCTTGCTCAGCATTCCTGCTTTTAGTTTTCAGGTGAATTTAACAAGCGCCGTTGGCTGTAAATCAAGCCCATTGCTGATAAAGATGGGCTGGGCAGGGCAAAAGCAGGGCACTTAGAGCAGCCAACAGAAAAAGCCTTGGAGCCTGACGGTGACAGAGGAAGAGGAATTGGGCATCTTATTTAAGAGCAGTCTAGGGACACATGGTATAGGGGCAAAAGCTCCGCTTGGCTCAGCAGCTGCCAAAGGTATTGTTGTATCATAGGAGGACACTGTGGCTGCTTATGGTGTGTCTGAGGCAGCCAGAGTGAACTAGATTGGGTGCAGTATACATTGCTTAAAAGAGGGACTACACAGAAGATCTGTTTTGGAGATACACTCATCCTAGATACTCTAATTAAAAATAGTGTAGTAACAGTCAGGCCTTTAAACCAGGCTCTTAGGAGGCAGAGGCAGGGTAGATCTCTGTGAGTTCAAAGCCAGCCTGGTACAGACTGAGTTCCAGGACAGCCAGGGCTGCACAGAGAAACCCTGTCTTGAAACACCCCCAAACCACCCCCTCCCAACAACCTTTAGTAATTATAAAGCCAGGAGTGGTAGTATATGCCTGTAATCTAAGTACTTGGCATGTTGAAGCAGGAGGATTACACATCAGAGAAAAGTCTGGGTTATGCAGCAAGGTCTTGTCTCAACAAAGAAAAGACAGAATAGAGCAGAACAGAATAGAAGGAGAAATCCCCTCAGTGATTAAGTGGAAAATCTGACCTAAAAGAGTAACTCTGAAACCATCTAACAGATATTATTCTTGCTCTTCAAACAATGGTAACTACAAATGTCTTTAAAAACAGACAAAACCCACTCAAAATGCATGACGGATATGCTTACACTAGACCTTTTTTTGTAGAAGAAAAGAGCATGATGAAAGAGAAACAGGTAAGAGACGGGAACGGGCAACTCACAAGCAGATCGTGCAGGAGTATGTATGTTCAAAATAAGGTGTTTTGGGGAGCCAGGGGGTGGTTCAGTAGGTAAAGACACATGGACTTGAGTTCAAAAGTCCAGAGCCCACGTAAGACCTGGACATGTGGCTGGAACACTTGTAATCTCAGCAGTCCTACTGGGGAAATGTCTCCATTTAGGAGACATTGTGGGCCAGCAAAACTAGTAGCAGGGGAAAATGAGATTCTGTCTCAAACAAGGTAAGGGGACAAGGACTGACAGGCACGGTCGCTCTCTGATCACCACACGTGTGATGTATACAGTTGTCCTCTGATCAGCACACACGTGATGTGTGTATATACAGGGTATATTTTCATCCATTAGATGGGTATCGAGGACAGCAAGGTTTGAAGTAAGAGTCCTGAGGGTGTGGGGAGGGAGGAAGGTACAGTACTTTTCCCATTGTTGTGACCAATGGGAAGAAGCAATGTAAGCAAATAGGGTTTTATTTTGGCTCACAGTTTGGTGGGGGAAGGCATAACCATAGTTGTGAGGTGGCTAACCCTATTGCTTCTGTTGTCAGGTGGTAAAGAACAAGCAAAATAGGGGACTGGGCTATACAGACACCGAGGCCTGGGGGTTGGAAAGATGGCTCAGGGGTTAAGAGCGCTTATTAGAAATGTGGTGTGGTGGTACATGCTTTTAATTGTAGCACTTCGGAGAAACAGGCAGATTTCTGTGAGTTTTAGGCCAGTGTGATCTACATAGTGAATACCAGGCTAGCCAGGGCAACATAGTGAAATTCTATCTCAAAAAGAAAGAAAGAAAAGTGTGTATTGCCCTTCCAGAGGACTGAATTTTGAGTCCAGGCAGCTCACAACTTCCTGTAACTTCAGCTCTAGGGTATCTGGGACCTCTGGCCTCTACTTGTGCCTGCATATGCCTTGTGTGTATATGTGGAAACATACCCTATACACCACAACCCAGACAGACAGACAGACAGACAGACGAATTAAAAATAAATTCTAAAACAGTAACAAATCGAGAACCCTCCAGGGCTCAGTCCCCTAAAGGTTCCCCAGAGTCCCACCATCTGGGGGCCAAGTGTAGAGCACATTTCACATTCAATCCACAGCAGGTGGAAACTGGCACTTTGATTTTCCTGAAGGGCAACTGGTAACATATAAAAACCTACTATGAGCCCATCCATCTTTTGGTTTAATAGTCCTGCATGTTGGAATCTGTACTGTTGAGAGTCTATGAACGAGGCTGCTTGCCAGCTGTAACAACAACAACAGCAACAATTGAACAGCAGGGACTGTGGCTGGTGAGAGAGGATGGCTCTGTGTGGGTAAAGGCTCTTCTTGCCACCAAGCTTGACCACCTGAGTGCTGTCCCTGGGACTCAGATAGTGGAAGAAGAGAGATACTGCAAGCTGTCTTCTAAGACGTCCCCAACTCCCCACATTGTAATAAAAAAACAAAACAAAACAACAGGAAATAGGGTGAAGCCTAAAAAGCTGGCTCAGCAGTTAAGAGCATTTGTTCTTTCAGAGGACCTAGGTTCAATTCCCAGTACCCCCATGGTGACTCACAACCATCAATAACTCTAGTTCCAAGGGATTCAACAGCCTACTCTGACCTACATAAGTACTGGGCGTGCATGTGCTATATAGACAGGCATGCAGGCAAAATCATTCATATACATAAAATAAATCTTTAAAAGTTTTTTTTTTAAAAAAAAAGCACAAACAAACCACAAAACTAACTGGGGACTGAAGAAGCTGGGTATGGCTCAGCACCAATGATAAGCACTGGGGACCTCCTAGGTCCAGGCAAACCAGGACACTAGTTATTCTAACTGCAGGAAGACAAACATAAATGGCAGTGATCTTGTAGAAAAAAAAAGACAAGTATATGTATTGTATTAAAAATATTAAAAAGATCTACCAAAGCTGTCAGGAGTAGCTTTAAAAAGTATTGTGTATTTTGTAACTGTTTATTTAAAGTCTCCTGCTACCTACTGGTTGCATGCTACATGTTTTCATAAAACAATGTAACAGCTTGTCATCAATAGGGTTGGGGGGGTGGATTCCTCTTGCACGTAGGAGAAATTTGATTAAGAAGGAATAAACTGGACCACATCCGGTCTTTTAGATTTCTCCTCATTGCTCAGGCATGGTGATTAGCCCTAGTCCCTGCCTTTGAGCCCCGATCCTGGGTGCTGGAGGCTGAGAAGTCGCCTTTGCTGGAAGCTGCCCCAGCACAGGAAGATGGGCGTGCCCTGAGCAGGCAGGCAGATAATTACCTGTGGGTGACACGAGGATGGGAATAATGCAGCTAACCAGCTCGCGTCCTAGCAGGCCTATCAGTGGCAATCTACTGCTTTGTCTTATGAAAACCTGCTGCCTGTTCCTAGGCAACCCGATCAACGGAAATTTCTGGTTTATACAATTTTCATTTAGGGAACAGAAAGGTTAACTAACTGTAATAGAAGTATTTTAAACAAACCCACCTACTAACTCTTCCTAGCACTGAGCAGGGCTGGCAGCTCAGCTGAATTCTGTTGTCTTTGCTGGTGGCATTTTGGCAGCACCCACCACAGGAGCTCTGTCAACCACCCGTCCTGTCACAGTGAGTGCACTCTAAGGCCAGAGGCCATGGCATGTGAACCCTCTAGAGGCTCAGCCTGTCCTGGGCATTTGAGTGACAGGAGAGGCATTGGACACAGCAGGGAGCCTGGTCTGGCCAGCAGTGAAGAGATTCTAGAAAGACTTCTCAGAACCAGAGGGCTGCTTGTACAGTCTATCCCCACTGCCTGCCCCTGGGGAGTCTGACTGACTTAATTCTAGGATGTGGAAGAGCTCAGAGCCAGGATGTGGGGGAGCCACTGAAAAACAAGTGAGCCCCTGCTCTGAGAATTTCCATTCTGTTGAGAAGACACCCCCAGTTTCTTGTTCATCAAGGATATAGACAAGAGCTCTCTGAACATCAGACTGTCTTAAGACGCCCCACCCCCACCCC